GATCTGTGTTTTGTGGTAATTAGCATTGTGCATAAGTTTCATAACATTTGGTTGAAGCAAACTAGAGTTAGAGAACAAAAATTAATATTTCAGCAATTTTTCCATTTGTAAAGGGGCATAACTTTAGAACGGTGAAAGTAACACCACCAAAATTCAAACTTGATCTGTATTGTGTGGTAATATACATTGTAGATAAGTTTCATAACATTTGGTTGAGGTAAACTCAAGTTAGAGAATGGAAACAAAATCAAAGCATCGTTGATGTTGTGATCCAGCCATATTCATAGCTAGTCCGATATTCTTTCTGACCATACTTTTTTCTAAATTTTTTTCTCTTTTCATTTCCAATCTTACTGTAAAATTTCTATGTTATTGTCCAAAGGTAGGGAATTTCACAATATTGATGCAAATATAGATATATATACTGATCTTTCAATTTTAGACTCTGTCAGATTTTATTTTTGACAAGAATGGAAAGGAAAATCGTCAAACAAGTTAATATTTTTTATATCCCATTAATAATGACAGGTTTAATCATTTCCAGAAAGAGGCCTTATAAATGCACTTTCTCAACAACAAAAATTTAAAAAAATAATAACTATTTTTATCTAAATTGGTGTTCATTCTTCATTAAGAAAACATACATTTCCTGTATTCAAATTTGAATGTACAAATACCTAATGCTGAGATATTTCCAATTACTGTTAAATAGCAATATAATGGGATATAAATGTAAAACAAACAAATAAATTTTATTGCAGAAAATGCTCAGGTAAGAGTTATGCAATTTTGTTTAATATTTCAACCAAATTTCTGATAATTGTAACAGTTAAACTAATTGATTAGAACTTGATTATTGACTTATGTCAGATGATAATGGCCCTGATTTTACAAGTAAAATAAAATTTGCTTGCATTTTTTATACATATTTTTTTCACTTTAAGTATTTTCTTTGAAGAAAAAAACACATCAGATTAATCATTCAGCTAGCTAGCAAAATTAACAGAATATTTTAATGTAGTGTAGATCAAAATAAATAATACATTTGTAAGTTTACTATTGAGGTCAAGAATGTGTGTATTCAGTTAGGTGTGTAATAAATTGTGTCTATTTAATTATGTAACAGGTCATGAGATATTAACTGTTTTGAATTAAGCCTGGGGTTGTTTCTAATTAATACTTATTTGAAAATCATGACAGTTAAGAATCATTCTGACTCTTACTTGCCTATGGAAAGAATTGGAGTAATACCATTTCAAAAAAGTGTGGTAAACAACTTAGATATATTAATACACATATTGACCTACATTTCATTGAACAATAATTTACACAAGCACAAGATACTAATATAATACTTTCAAAATTCTTATCAACTGATTCAATTGATGTACAAATACTTTTTAAAAATAATTCATAAATAGTAAATCATCATAAATTTTGATTTAGAAAGGAACTATATATGCAAGTGTATATCTAAAATAAAGTCACTATTCGACCAATCTTTTCTTAATTTAAGGGCAAATAACATGTCAAAAGTTTGCAGTTGATGATTAAAATTGTGTAGAAAGTTTCTGCAAGTCATAAAAACACATAATTAGTTTCATGATATGTCTTCAACTTAGTATTCTACACCATCTCCAAAACCAGAGCGATCGCATAGATCCAGCATGGCTGAATCAAAAATCAGCATTTTTTTCATTTGTAAATGGGCATAACTCTAGAACGGTAAAATTGACGCCACCAAAATTCAAATTTGATCTGTGTTTTGTGGTAATAGACATTGTGGATAAGTTTCATAACATTTGGTTGAGGCAAACTAAAGTTAGAGAACGGAAACCAATTTTGGGATGTACGGACAGACGGACATACGTACAGATGGACAAGGGTAAAACTTAATGCCCCCTCCGCTACGGCGGGGGCATAAAAAAATTCAAGCAGGCGCTGAACATGCCACGAGGTTTCTAAAAACTCAATTCATCATTCTCTCTGTCATGATTAGGGATCGTACTTTCTTGTTTATTTGACCTGTTGATACTAATTGTATTGCTTTTTTGTTATTTAATGTTATTCAGGGTTATATCTGGTCTATATACCAGCTTTGATAAGTGTTTGATATTACTATAAATTTTCATATGTACTATGAACATCAAAATTATTTATTTTGTAAAAATATTCCCTTTCTCTATTGGAACTGTACACGTATACCTAACAACAAAATTATTTTCATTTACGTGTGTTTAAAGTTATTGCAAATGGCTGATATTTTTGTTCGAGCATATTGTTTTTCTTTAATTGTTTAACATTTCATACCAATATAACATGTTACTTTTATTATTCTTCCTTTAGTTTATCTATTTTGTATTAAAGGGATACTTCGCAAAAAAATGAAATATTGATATTATGTTGATTATGTATCAAAAACCACAAATTCATAAATATTAAAGTTTAATTCTGCTAGATAAGAGATCACCATCGATTTTAAATTTAGAGTATCACTTCTCCGCGTGCGGCCATTTTGACATCATCCCTGAATAGAAACCATGATATATCTATAAACCACAAAGGACCAAAACAAGCAGTAACCTAACGTAGCCGTAATTGAGTGTCGATACCTTATGTATATATGTCTCTGATTAGACCGTTAGTTTTCCCGTTTGAATGGTTTTACACTAGTAATTTTTGGGGCCCTTTATAGCTTACTGTTTGGTGTGAGCCAAGGCTCCGTGTTGAAGACTGTACTGTGACCTATAATGGTTTACTTTTATAAATTTTGACTTGGATGGAGAGTTGTCTCATTGGCACTCATACCACATCTTCTTATATCTATATACACCATACCTTATAACTTAAAAATTTTCCTAGTGTATTTATCTATACACAGCTTCTTGAAACTTTGTTCTCTCTTCTTTGCAGCCATACATCACAAGGTGATTGATTTGTCCCATCCTCTTTTATTTCTTTCCTTTTTAGCTATCAGATTGGTCTTGTAGTTTTACAGTAAAATGTGACAAGAGCGCACATGCTGAAATGTCTCGCCTTCTTTACTAACCATTGATTTTATGTTGATAGTCCTAATACAAAGTATTACTACAAGTAACACATAAACTTAACATGATCCAAGAAAATGAGGTCAAGGTCAGATAAACCAAACGAGAAATACATGTACACCTTACAATCATTCAATAAACCAAACATAGTTGACCTATTGCTTATTGTTTCTAAGAAACAGTCTTAAACAAGAAAACTTAACACTGATCAATGAACCATGAAAATGAGGTCAAGGTCAGATGAACCATGCCAGACAGACATGTACACCTTACAATCAATTTAGGAATTAAATATAGTTGACCTATTGCTTATAGTATTTAAGAAACAAACTTAACCATGAAAACTTAACATTGACCAATGAACCATGAAAATGAGGTCAAGGTCAGATGATACTTGCCAGACAGACATATACACCCTTACAATCCTTCCATACATCAAATATAGTTGATCTATTGCTTATAGATGAAAAAAAAAAAACAGACCAAAACACAAAAACTTAACACTGAGAAATGAACCTTGAAAATAAGGTCAAGGTCAAATAAAACCTGTAAGACTGACATGTACATCATAAAATATTTCCATACACCATTTATAGTTGACCTATTGCATATAGTATTAGAAAAAAAGACCAAAACTCAAAAACTTAACTTTGACCACTGAGCCATGAAAATGAGGTCAAGGTCAGATGACACCTACCAGTTGGACATGTACACCTTACAATCATTCCATATACCAAATATAGTAGACCTACTGCTTATAGTATCTGATATATGGACTTGACCTCGAAAACTTAACCTTGTTCACTGATCCTTGAGATGAGGTCGAGGTCAAATGAAAATTGTCTAACGTGCATGAGGACCTTGCAAGGTACGCACATACTAAATATAGTTATCCTATGACTCATAATAAGAAAGAAATTAACATTACAAAAAATGTTGACTTTTTTTTTCAAGTAGTCACTGAACCATGAAAATGAGGTCAAGGACAATGGACATATGACAGACGGAAACTTCGTAACATAAGGCATCTATATACAAAGTATGAAGCATCCTGGTCTTCTAGCTTCTAAAATATAAAGCTTTTAAGAAGTTAGCTCAAACCGCCGCCGCCGCCGCCGCCACCAGATCACTATCCCTATGTCGAGCTTTCTGCGACAAAAGTTGCAGGCTCGACAAAAATGAGGTTTTCCATACACAATCACAACAAGACCAATCTGATCCAAACTTTCCAGCTATCCTAAATACATGGAACGTAATTCATATACTATATCTATTAGATATGTATACCAATTTTCCACAATTGGACAAAAACATGAACAACCCTGCTCCCAATAGGAAATTCTTGATTATGATTGGTTGATTTTTTAATTCCTTCTCTGAGGAAAGTACAAGGCCAAGTTTTTAAACTTTATGTGAATTATGGCTGGGAGATCTTCTATATAGAATCCTCACAGGAGGCATATAACCTTTTTCATTTTTTTCTGCAACTAAATGACCATTTAATCCTACTAGAAACAATATATGGACTATGAAAGGCCATTCTTAAAATAGTTTCTTTTTATTTGCTGCAGTGAAAAACATGGCAACCTACAATAATGCCTGACAGGTTAAATTTTATCCCAATGGGAAATAACTTTTTCATCCTTTCCCTAAAACTATGGCTAGTGTTGATAGAACTTGGCAGGACTAATGAATTGTCTTTTTACAAAAAAATTCCCTATTCATTCCAATCAACAGGAAAAACAATTCACTATTGTCATAAACAGAAATTATTCTGTAAAGTGCTGTACTAGTTACTGCTAAACTTAAGGAGATTGATCAGAGATTGATAGTGGCTATTGTTAACATTGGGTATAGATCCAGTTGAGCAATGTAGGCTATTTATAGCCTCTTGTTTCTGTCTTATAATTGGTCATTGTATACACATTATTTGTAAAATATAATAACAACAAATACGTTGACCTGCAGTTAGTTTATTATCAACATGCACATAAATGGTCAAACTGAGGTAGAAATTTATACATAATATCCCTGAGGTAGAACTTGTATAATTAACGAACCATAAATCCTTTTACATCTATTACACAGAAATCTTGGAAGAACCAAAACATACTAAACCATTATATAATAAAATTTATATTTTAGAATATTTTAAAATGAGATATATATGTCATTTAGTTTTCTAAACCATGTGAATAAAGCGAAACAATTTAAATCATCTCCCTTTAGTCTTTAGGATTAAAGTAAGTTCTTTTTTATCCTTTTCTGGCAATATGGTTTTAGAGTAAATAATTGGCTAAATTTTCTCATAATATAGTAAGTATCACATGTTGCAAAGTTCCTTATATTGTCATGAAAATAAAATTTATAATTATAGTTCTTTATGCTTTAAAAATTGTCTTGTCAAATTCTTCCAAATTTCTGTATAAAAGTTGTATTTCAAGCTGTATAAGAACTTGATGGAACATTGATTCGATTTATAATAAAAATATCATTATTGTACAAAACATTAACATATTTACAAGGCAGGAATCAACAAATGTAATCACTCCTATGGATTTTACATCTTTACCCGTAATCTGAACTTGATTTACAATGTTCATGAATAATCATGAAATATATATTTAACACCTATGTGAAAGAAAAATATGAAGTTTGTGATATTGAAGATTTTGTCACTGAATATTGTGAGGTTATACCAACTTAAATGTAAAAAGGAACAAACACTATTCCAACTAAAATAACTGATATGTACCTGTATTGGTAAAGAAAATAGTGGTCTAACTTATAAATACCCTTGGTGTAACATTAACTACTTAGTATCACATTGCCATCTTAAAGGCACAAAATCAATTTATTAATATTGAACTTGCAAAGCAAGCATATATTCTAAAATTTTGTAAAAGTTTATTCCATCTCCTTTGAAAATGATGAAAATGGGAAATTGCACATCTTGAATCCATCTAACCAAAAACAAAATTACATTTACTAATATGGTTGATGAAGATCTGGTTTATTGTTACATTCAAACCCAAGCATATAGTCAATTGGTTTTTGTAGTCTCAATTCACTTTTCAGACATCAACAAATGCTAGTTATTAACAAAACTTGCTTTACAATTATTACTGAGAGATAGAGTTTATCCATTTTTTGAGGTAAAAATATTTTCAAGTTGATGACTATAAACTAGGGATGTCAACTCGGTGAACAATTACTAATCCGTTTTGCAACTTTGTAAATTACAGTCTTGCAGAGGAAAATATTTGCTCTGACGGTACGGCTAAGACATGTTTAGTTTAAAGTGTTAGCCTAGGTATAACCCACGCATTATTGGAGGTATTTTAAATGACAATTTTAATTTATCACAAGCATTAGAAACAAAATGTAGTTTATTTTCTAGTATGATTAATCAGTAATGCCTATTTAATTTTCCGATAGAGGTTCTCAAGAAGATCAATTTTATATAAAGAAGACAGCAATATTCCAACAGGAAACGGATAAGTCGAGTATCGTTTTGATATTCGATACTTGGTACTACCGAGCAATACTTGAATACTCGAGTACTGGTTGACATCCCTACTATAAACCATGATTATTTTGACAAGTTGATGACTATAAACCATGACTATTTGACAAAAATGTCTCTTCTTCAAATGAAATTTTCAAGATCACAAACTATCTCAAGGTTTTAACAAACTATAATGCATCATAAAAATTTAAACATATGAATTTAGGTGTAACAAGGCATTTTTATGATCCCCCCAAACATTACTCAATTTTTAATGAGACAATAATTTACTAAAATTAAAAAGATATCAATTTCCTAAAATGATGCAACAGTATATGTACATTCAGGAAAAATCAAATATGTTTCTGAATTTTGATAAATACATTTAAATATCATACAATTTGAAATAGCACAGAATATTTAGCAGCACTATTGTGCTTTTCTAGTACTCAAAATTTTCCAATGTGACATTTTAAATAAAAAAGAATTCAGAGAAAATGCATAATAGAAATGGGAAAATTTAAGGCTCTGAGGAGTTTTTATTGCTCACCTGGCTTCTATACACACTAAAATGTTTCCTAGCACAATTATGTGTGCAACTAAATTTAAATCCTCTAAGATAACTGCTAGAACATAAACATTTTATAAAAAAAGTTGTCCTGATTGTTGCCAAATTTGTCTATTTCAGTAACTGTAACATGATGTGTTAAAGTGCTGTTTAAAGGCTGTAATGGTCATACAACATTATTTTCAAAACAGATCATAAGTGTATCCTTACTCTTAAGCTTAGTTGAAAATAGATATTTACAAGTTACAGAATTTAACATTGATACAATTCTCAAGAGGGCTAAGCAAGACTTTACTTTATGTTTAGTAGTAGGCCTTAACACCATTTGTAAGAATTTTGGTAAATTTAACTACATTCATAACAGTGGCACTAAAATTTAATACCAGTTGATCCTTTACACAATTTATCCCAAATTTTTGTAATATAACTTTTTTAGTAATGGTGTGGCCACATTTGATAACAGTTAAGGTTATCAACTACAATTCGTAAAGATGATTATCACAGCGTATCATTTCTCAAAAGTTTAGCGATAGATTTTACCATATACAGAGGTTTTAAATCTTAACGACGCCACCTTTCCTTTTTAATGTTCTGATTTAAAAGTGTCAGACATAATTTTAAAGCTAATCACTCTTAGGATGATGTAAGCCAAGTTTGACTCCAACTGGCCAATATGTTTCAGAGAGTTTTTTTTTATTAGTTTACAGATAGAAGATAATGACACTAGATGTTGAATGATAGCAATATATTAAACACTGGTCCAAAGGGCCTGTTATGCTTACAATTTTGATGTACATATATGCCCTTATACAGATCATTTGGAGGCTTTTCACCTCTCTGGTTTTGCAATATACAGCTAAATGCAATAAAATCAACAATTCACTATGACTTCAATCTTGAAATATAACAGTATCTATTAACAAAATTATTTAACAAACATGAAAAACACAATCTCAATCGAAAACACTGACCAAAAATCCCACACAAATAATAAAGGACACTATGATACACATTTATGAGAAGACGCTGTCTAAACAATCCATACAAGCTATCCATGTACTATAATTTAAAAAAAAAAAATTTTCAGTTATAGGTTTTCCAACCATAACCTAACTATGAATTTTGTTAATTTATGCATATATGACCTGCTGGTAAATTGAGCAATTATTTAAACTAAGAAATTCCCAATACAAAATTGACACTATATAAAGAAAAATACTTATCTTATTTTCAAAATAATCATTATCTAATTATAATATAAAATGCCCTGTTAAGATACAAAAATCACCGGAAATTATCATTGCACATGTAAAATGATTATTTGAAGATACAGTAAACTCACAAATTAATCTGAACTCTGTCTGAATTTTAAACCTTCTTCATCTAGTTGTAAAACTTCATTTGGTAGGTAATTTTGGCCAAACATATAACTAAATAAGAGAACTCTTGACACAAAATATAACAGAGGAATTGCAATAGATATCTTTGATAGCATACTTTGTTAAAGTTATTAACTACTAAAAATTTTAAAATCAAATGATATATTCAACGACATTTTCACACAACTTCTTTATTAAAAAAATGTTCATGTTTTCAGCAGTTCTAAAGTGAAACCACAACTTCACTTTATTAACATATCAAATCTTTTTTCTCAATTTCTAGGTGAAAAATCAAACAGCAGGGACAATCTTCATATCAAAAACAAGTACAATAAATGTAAATTAACACAATTTCTAAAGAATATATATCTAAGTTATATCAAACTACAATCTACATAAAAATATACAATTTAACATAATTACTGCAAAAACAATAAGATCAGGCCAACTTTTTGTTTTCGCCAAAACTACAAACAGTACCAGATTATCGCTAATATTTTCTTTTCATGTGCTTGAATGTTTATTAAAACCCTTGCAAGTTTTTAACCAGGAGACTGCATCAGGCAAAACAAGGTCGATGGAACAAGGGTGTTTCAGGGATAATTCACCCCTTTAAGAGAAGAACAAAATAACAAACTTGCAAGCCCTTACAGGAACCCACTGAATAGTGCTCTTTCAAACAAACAAACTGAATCATAGGAGGGAATACCTTCAATCACCCTCATTCCAGAAAGCTGGTGACAACCTTACTATGTAATAAATCTGATACTATGGGAATTGATTTATACAGTATAACACAAACAAATCACCAAAGTATCTGCTTTAGACAGTATAGCAGTTAGTAACCATGGAAACTGCTTAAAACTGAATAACAGAACTAGTAACCAAGGAAACTATTTTACTTTGTATAACAGAACTAGTAACCATGGAAACTGCTCTACACAGTATAACAATACAAACTGTAAAATATTAACAATCCCTATCACTAAATCGTAACAAAACATGAAATGATATCACCGAGATCAAAAACAAAACAATAAACATTTGATAAAACCTAGGACTATTTTTAATTACTCATATAATGCATAACAAGTATTGCTTTATGTTTTAAACTTTATAACATTATAAAAACAGATACTGACTGGTATCAAGAAATAAGTTTGCATGGAGTGCATTTTTATTTTAATTGGTTTTAATATTGTTGCATAGCAAATTCAATTCCCCATGATTAGATACTAACCATTAACATAAATAAAACTTGTAAGACTAAGTAACACAATTTTGATTATTATTATATATTCATTTCAAAGTTTCAGATTTTTTGATTTTTTTTTTTTGGTAAATGAGTTTAATAAACATAAACACCCCTTTTTGAATTTTGAATTGAAAAATAGCCTTGTGAGACCAAATGTGAAAACTCTTTTAGTACCACAGTAAAACCAGTGGTAAACAATCCTTTACTACCACCTTCAAATTCATTTTAGCAACAATTAATATTTTGTACAAAGTATCAGGAAGACAAGAAATCTATAAGTTTTGTATGATACTTTTAACAAAATTTCAATCATAACATCTTTTGAGATCAATAACTTTAAATGTCTATGAATCAAGGTTTCTTTATAATAATGAATGAAAATTATTCAATTGTTAAAAAAATGGTTTTGTATCTTTAACATTAGGTTATTTGTTGTAAAGTAAAATCATAACAGATAATATGACCATAAAGGATATACCATGTACCCAAAGTGCAAATTACTTTTAGGTTTGTAAACAGAAATTTGTAGTTGGGATGTTGTACTAGATTTCAACATTATATGTATCTGTGGAAGTTACTTTTGATGTCAACATAAAACAGTATTCTCTGATTTCAAAGGGGGGAACCTGAATCAAATTTAATTAAAAGTGACCTATACTGTATGGTATATCTTCTTTTTTGTAACCTAACACAATACATTTGTACAATATAAATACTTCCACAGTTTAAATCTGTTTAAAACTTGGAAATAAAATTAAATAAGCTTAGCTTACATGTACATCATGTCAGCTTACTTAAGTATTTTTCCCTGTCCAGTAAAATCTTTTGTAAATAGGTTGTTTCAATGCTACTGAGAGTTTATGTAAATATGATAAGTTTTGGAGAGGAATTCTTGAAATAGATTACTGTTACATCAGCCAGATACCAATTCTATGTTATATTTGACAAAAAAAGATGATTGAATAACTGACAAAAGAATTTTTTAATTTTCTTTAAACATTTATGCTTTCAAGTTAGCCAATCAACCCATTACATAACTCATAGTTTAAAGACAAGCTGTTAGTTAAGTAAATTAAGATAACTCTCCAAATTTAAAATTATCACCCTATATGTTCTGAATTAAAATTGTCCCCCTTTATGATATACTGTAAATTCAGAAATTATTGCGTGTATTTATTATTGCGATTTTTGAAGAACGGTCAAAAATGCGAGATTAATTATTGCGATTTCAGGATAAACTGCATTCAGATATATCGATCAGATATCACAATGCGAGTTCTTATTATTGCGATACTCACTCAGTCGCATTATTCGCATTAATAAAAACCTCGCAATAATTTCTGAATTTACAGTATTCAATTTACATTTATCAAAAATCCTTCCCTTCATTCCATTGCATCTTATTTTGATTCATAAATTTAGTCACATTGGTTAAATACTATTTGAAAATATTTTAAGTTTTAACAAATACTCTCTTTTCAAAGACATTTTTATGTTTGACTTAAATTCTTGTGATTCTTAGCCTTGAAGTTTATATAAAAAAAAAATCAATAAAAAACTTCTATTATATTGACATCAATCAAAATACAATAATATATAAGAAATCAACACCGGAATATCAGAACACATTCTTCTTAGGTAGAATGTTTTAATACTTATGTCATGTTCTTCCACGTTTCTGTAGTAACAGATGTTTTAATGATGATGCTTCTTCTCGTAATGTTGCCACTTGAGCTCTTAAAATTGCATTCTCTTTTTCCAAAAAGCTTGCTCTTATTGCAATTTCATCTTCTCTTGATTTTCTGGCATCTCTTGATTTTTTGGCAGCATTATTGTTTCTTTTTCTTCTTTCAAAATATTTGCCGTCTTTCTGCTCATCTGGTATAGCTTTCTTTTCACTTCTGGGTCGTTTCTGTGTTTGCTGAACTGCAGCTAATGCTCTAGCTAAGGTTGGAGATGCACTGGCTGCTGCTGCTAAAAATAAACAAATAACTTCTTAACATTTTACAAATGTATGACAATAACTTCTTAGCATACTGCAAATGTATAACAATAACTTCTTAGTATACTTCAAATGTATGGCAATAACTTCTTAGTATACTACAAATGTATGACAATAACTTCTTAGTATACTACAAATGTATGACAATAACTTCTTAGTATACTTCAAATGCATTACAATGACTTATTAGTATACTTCAAATGTATGGCAATAACTTCTTAGTATACTACAAATGTATGAAAATAAAATCTTAGTATACTGCAAATGTATGAAAATAACTTCAAAAAGAAAATTTAAAAAGGAACTCCCCCCCCCCCAAAATTTTTTGAACCCCCTTATGATTCATCACCCCCAAACTCAATCCCAGCCTTCCCTTTGTGGTATGGTACCTTTCAGTACAATTTCAGAGAGATCCATACACTTGAACACAAGTTATTGTCTGGAAACTAGATAAATGCTTGTTTTTTGGCCCCAAATTCCTAAACGTTTAGGGCAATTACCCCCAAACTCAAACCCAGCTTTCCCTTTGGGATATGGAACCATGTAGTACAATTTCATAAAGATCCATACACTTACACACAAGTTATTGTCGTGAAACTAGAAAAATGCTTGTTTTTTGTCCCTTTTTGGCCCGTAATTCCTAAAATTTTGAGGCAATTACCCCAAAAATCAATCCCAGCCTTCCCTTTGAGGTATGGTACCTTGCAGTACAATTTCAGAGAGATCCATACACTTGAACACAAGTTATTGTCTGGAAACTAGAAAAATGCTTATTTTTGGCCCCTTATTCCTAAACATTTTGGGCAATAACCCCCAAAATTCCAGCTTTCCCTTTGCGATATGAAAGCTTGTAGTACAATTTCAGAAAGATCCATACACGTACACACAAGTTATTGTCATGAAACTAGAAAAATGCTTGTTTTTGGCCCCTAATTCCTAAAATTTTGAGGCAATTACCCCCAAAATCAATCCCAGCATTCCCTTTTTGATATGGAACCTTGTGGTACAATGTCAGAGAGATCAATACACTAACACACAAGTTATGTGTGGAAGTTACAAAAATGCTTATTTTTGGCCCCTTAACTGTTGGTACCATAACCCCCAAAATCAATCCCAACCTTCCTTTTGTGGTATTGAACCTTATGGTAAAATTTCATAGAGATCCTTTCACTTTAACTAAAGTTAAAGTGTGAAAACTAATGTGTCACTCTTCGGACGACGACGACGCCAACGTCATACCAATATACGATAAAAATGTATGACAATAACTTCTTAGTATACTTCAATTTTCACTGAACTAGTAGGTACACATTTTTGTTTGGGGGCCAGCTGAAGTCCGGTTGGTCGGGTTGTTGTCTCTTTGACACATTCCCCATTTCCATTCTCAATTTTACAAATGTATTACAATAACTTCATAGTATACTACAAATGTATGACAATAACTTTATAGTATACTACAAATGTATGACAATAACTTCATAGTATACTACAAATGTATGACAGTAACTTTATAGTATACTACAAATGTATGACAATAACTTCATAGTATACTACAAATGTATGACAATAGCTTCTTAGTATACTACAAATGTATGACAATAACTTCATAGTATACTACAAATGCATGACAATAACTTTATAGTATACTACAAATGTATGACAATAACTTTATAGTATACTACAAATGTATGATTTGATTTGATATTTGGTGTTTTAACGCCACTTTTAAGCACCGCTTTTGGGCTATTTCGTGGCGGCCAGTTTTTATTGGTGGAGGAAGCCGGAGTGCCCGGAGAAAACCACAGACCATCGATAGGAAAACTGACAATCCTAGTCAATTAAGATAGGAGTCGAGTGCACCTGCACGAGCAGGGTTCGAACTCACAACCTCAGTGTTGACTGGCTAGTGATTACAGTAGTACCTACTTAGACCACTCGGCCACCGAGGCCCCCACAAATGTATGACAATAACTTCATAGTATACTACAAATGTATGACAATAACTTCTTAGTATACTACAAATGTATGACAATAACTTCATAGTATACTACAAATGTATGATAATAACTTCATAGTATACTACAAATGTATGACAATAACTTCTTAGTATACCACAAATGTATGACAATAACTTCTTAGTATACTACAAAAGTATGACAATATATAACTTAGTATACTACAAATGTATGACAATAACTTAGTATACTACAAATGTATGACAATAACTTCATAGTATACCACAATTTTATGACAATTAATTTTCAGAAAACTACAAAGATATGACAATAATTATTTACAGGTATTTGTATCTTGTACACTTTTTTGTATGATTTCATTGGAATTCATTAAGTTACTTATGAAAGAAAGTGAACTGTCAACAAGGTAAAAAGCTACAAAGCTTAAGTTTAGAGCATCATCTTAATTATAATTATAAACCAATACCTAAGATAAAAAAATTAACATATATCAAATTATGTTAAAGACTCTCAACAGCAAAAACTCACATCATAATTTTTCTAACCAATAAATACATAAGGTAATTTTCATTTTATAGGACAGAATGTTTTTATGCCATCTTTTCACAGAGTATATACACGTCTATATATATACTCTTTTGAAGTTACATACATCAAACCAAACTCTATTTGGTATTCAAAACATTGAAGAAACAGAAAAGAAATGAACTTATTTTTATCAATCAGAAAATTAGCATGTCTTCCTTTTTAATGTCAATTGTGGCCAGGGCCTTTGGAAACCTTATCTATTCTACTCCATTATAAATACTTGTACTGGTGTTTAATCCCCATGGGATATATCAAATCTAATTTTTATAATCAAAAGAAAGGAAGAGGTATGATCTTTAGTTTGGCCTTGAAATTAAACTACTTGTGTAATTTTTCAACCATTACATTACCTACTCCTACCTAAGGGAGCAATTATTGTAACCACATTACTTGAATCAGGAGGACAAATCCAGATATTTAGTGGCATCTTCCAAGTGGGAATTTTCTATAATATTGAGATTTTAGACCCTGAATAAAGAAAATTTTCTCCCTTGACAACTCCTCTCCTTATCCATACATACACATTCAATGGTTTCCACATGACACATTCTGTTCATGACAATGATTATAAATATTTGTGACATACCATAATCTCTGACAGTCGACAAATTTCAAGAAAATTTGAACCATTCAGTAACTAAAACTGAGTTCTAAGGGGTAAAATTGCTTTCAATTGTATAGTAAACTGCATTGTATTAATATAAGCAATGAAACTTTAGTCAAAATTTCAGAATTGGCGTTCCAACAGATAGACTTATACTCTATGCACTATTTCTGCAACTTATGTAATTATTAATAAAATAATTTTCTTTTACAAGTTTGGTTATACACAAACACATAACTTTGTAACTTGAATATCTTAGTTTATATATCATTAATAAATAGCTTGACAAGGGCATCAGGGTCGGATTCAGGAGGGGTGTGTGCCCCCCCCCAAAAAAAAAAAATTTGCAAAGCATGGGTTGTCCTCAGCTTAACAAAGAATATTTCGATATTTCTACCTCAAAAAAATTTAAGTTTGCACCCCTAACCTAAAATCCTGGATCCGCCCCTGGGCATGGGTAGGATCTAAAGAATGTTCACCTCACTGCACTATTAAGGTAAGGTAGTGATCTCAGGACTGGAGTATATAGCTAGTGCAATCATGCAGCTCTGGATTATTCGGCTAATTTCACCCTTTTCCAACAGCATTTTTACTTTAGAGATATATAACCATATCAAAACTCATCAATTCTAAGTGGTAGTATGAGAAATTAGATACTTGTAACATACAATCACTTCAGGCTGTGTAATGTTTTTGTTCTTAAAAAAAACCCAGCAAATAAATAATATAATAAAAAATTCAAAACAAACAAGAAAAAATCCCTTATTTTTTATAATATAAAGCCTTCCTGTAATATGTTTTCCTTGTTGATAACAACCTGAATATTGTTTATGGTCTCTGGGCATGGCATCCTTTACTTTTTGAACTTTCTATTTTTAGTTCTTATCTATCACTCCTTATTTCATTCAATTTCAAGGATATCAAAGAACAGAGCTAGGATTACTACCAAATCTAATTATGAACAGTTCCTGTTTTCCTATTTTGGGTTTAATAGCAACCCTTCTATGACCCTTTGAAAGTCTGAGCAATACACATTTATTCAATCAATAATATTATTATATAAGTTTTATGTAAGAATAAGTGAAATAAGTTACAATATGGACAGACTATTGTTGGTCAATAGTTCAGTTATATCACATTGGTCTACATTGAACAATAGGTTGATATAACAGATTATATCACCTAGCCTTTTGGTACCTGGAGGATATCACTCACAAAATTTTCACCAAATTAGTTTAATCAGTGTTACAACATAAAACTAATGATGTATGACAGATCTTGACATAGTTGAATATTTGATTTTCTATATTAAATGCTGTTTAACCATATATCCTAAATTCCTTTAATGTCCACTTCAAATATGTAGAAAATATCAAAATGTATATCCTTTAAAATCAATTTTTGGATTGCATATCCCTAGCACATACGAATACCATATATCAACCATGAATATTACAGATATCCTATTGGAACCAATCATATTCAATATTCCTAAATCCCCCATCAAAGTTAATGAATTTAATATCCGTAACTCTGTGTTTTAATTTTTAAATTTTAAATTCATGTACTTCCCTTTCCCTATATTCAATGTGTATGTCCTTTTGACATACACGTATTAAGTAGGTGTAGATTTCCTCAATAGAAATAATCTTAAAACTTAAATTTCGATATACTTGTACTTTTTCAAATTAAACAAAAAGGGACCAGTAGAAAGTCCACAAAATTTTCCCTAATCAATATATATACACACATTTTAAAGGGGTTTCTTTTTATAGGTCATAACTCCTGAAAATAAAATTCAAGTATTTAAAAATAGTGAGTCCTTTTTAGCTGCAAATATGTCCCAAAGTAAGAATGCATTTTTATGGAAATTCAATTGATGTTCTAATGTGGAGTCTTCCTTCCTGAGTTGTAAAAGCTACCATGTTGAAAATAAGAGAGAACTGTATTTTATCACATTAAATAATCATTAATAATAATTTTGCTGATTTTTATTTTTCATGTGCAGAACTCCTCAACAATACAAGATATTTTATAAAATCAAGGCAAAAACAAGGATCATTGGAGAAACATTAATTTTACCAGATAAACCATTTAAAAGAGACAAATATAACTCTTGTTAAAATGAAGCCATTATAAGTAAATTCTCCATGAATTAATTCAATAAGCATAATAAAATACCTGTCTGTATGTACCATCCTTCTTTTCAGAAAATTTGAAATTTTAACATGAGGTATTATATACAGAAAAAAGAAAAAAGAAAGGAAAATAATAGTCTCTTCATATAAATTTGACTGTTTCAAGTACAAATTGAAGGATCTTTTTTCATATTATATGTGGCATACACCCACAATGACCTCTTTTAAAATCAGTCCTGTCTATCCACTAAAAAATTTGCTCTCAAAATTCATTTTCCTGAACATTTGATTGCAGAATCTATATAACATTAAATGTACAGATGGTCTTTGTATAATTCAATAATGAAATTTTTAAAGATATTTGGAGCATTTAGAAAGTTTATTTTACGTAATTATCTTCAAATTATTATTCTGTATATAAAAAGTTGTGATCTGTTTACTCATACATGAATTACCAATCCAATACAACAATACCCAACAGTAAAAAAGAAATCAATCCCTTGAAAGCAGACTTTTAATAGATTGCACTAAAATATTATAAAATGCCAGAAAACATTTTTTTCTTAATTTAAACAAGGCTTACCTAAGCCATGCATCTGTAGATAAGGATTCATATAGCTTGATGATGTAGGAAAGCTACCCATTGATGATGGATATGGCAGAGAGGGTGACAAGGATGGTGTCCCATGATATGGTGAGAAAGATGATCCAATAGACATGGAACTGGGAGGAAAGGATCCTGCAGCTGGCTCCAAGTGAGAACTCAGTCCATGGAAGTAAGAATCACCAAGTCCGTTCATCATGTTCAGTGTATTAAATCCATAAACAAGGTGTCAAGATGGTACACAGTTATACAACAGCCAACCAAATGAACTTAATATAAACCCTCAAAATGACCACTGGCCAACTGACAGCTACTTCCTATTCCGTAAATATCTCTATGAGATACACAAATATCCAAAAAGTGTTTTAGCTGGAATGTGCATGTGAAAAATCCTTCTCTTTGTAATAAGTTTCTTGTGAGCTAACACATTATCAAATATATTTTAGTATTTAAGTCCAACAATCTAAATAATAAAATTTCTCAAAAACTTTTGAATATTGATTCCACAGCAAATTGTTCGCACTCTGTTGACCTAAAAAAAATTGTGTTGATACAAAATCCTTTTGACAATTTCCTCATCAGATCCTTGTGTGTAATTCCTGGTCAGTAATAGTTAATCTACTTAAATTGTTAATGATGAATCAATTTACTTCCCATTATCTATTCAATGTTTATACAAATTTTGTTCTTATTTTTTGCAATTAAAATTGTGTTCTACTCTCTCAAAAGCAGCCAAATTTAAATATTAAAAATTGACCAATCAATGAACTGTAATTTTGTAATATTATTCAACATTCAGACATAATTCACAATACACATGGTCTGACAAATCTTTTCTTACATAATAAATCATAAAGGTCAACTAAAGCTTAGTGGGAATTAGAACTAATATAAACAATTAATTAATTCTTATTATGGATTGTGCTTTTAACAGTTACAGAAAACATTATTTTATTTTTTCATATTTAAAAAAAAACATGAACAAATAAATTTCATTAAAAAACTTGATTATTTTCTTTTCACCTGATAATTACTGAACAACATAAATCAAGTCCAATACCATTTATAATTGCAAAAAAACAATTATAATTTAACATGATAAGACATCAACCACTGAATCATCACAAATGTCTTCCAGGAAACCATCATCCCTTTTAAAAACAAAGTTTTGTTAGTCCGTTTACTGTAATATAATTCACAAATTTAAATTTTGCTACCAGAAAACTTTTAAAAGTAAAAATGAACAAACAACAACGGTTGTGGGTCAACAAACGGTATAATCCATCTTGTAGTATTTATGATGTTTAATACCTCTGGCCATTACTGACCAAGTTTTATTAAGTGACCACTATCTACATATCATTCATGTATTTAGATAGAGGGACAAAATAGGGATGCATGTTAAATATATCTTCAAACTCAAATACACAAGTATACATTAGTATGACATACACACCCGATGGTGTTTGCCTGATAAGGTGTAGCTAGCCACAATGGTTAATGAAAAGGATATAGAATTGAATTAAAGGGCATGAAGTAAATTTAGCTTAAAGCCACAACTTGTATAATAAGGTGCTTTTGGTAATAATGCATCAATAAGGACTTGTGCTTCAAATTAAACTGTAATCGCCAAATATAAGTTCAAGTATAGTTTCTTTAATTCCAACATGTTCAAGAAAATTGGAATAAAATGGTCTACACAAAAAATTCCATAAACTTTTCAAAAAAGAATTATTTGAACACAATGTTCACATTTTGATTTGTTGAAAAATAACAAACAACATGATCATACTTTGCTCTTTGTTCAGCTTTTCTAAATGTTATATATGCCATTTTTTTTAGTTTAGTATGAGACCAAATATAACATATTATATAGTATCTATTTAAGATCACAGGTTTAAGCAAGGTGTCTTCACAAAAATTTTCATGTTTTCTGGTTCTTAAATACCTAGTCCTAAGTGAACTGGAAAAAGTAACTCTTCAAAGGGTGATTCTTCTTATGAAGTTGTCACTATATTGTTAAAACAAGTGATTTTTTGTTCAAGATCCAATAAACAGTAAATGTTTGTCCAGATTTTAAAATATCGAAGATTCTTTCTTTTGTATTCACAATTAAAATACTAAAACCAATTTAGAAAAAAAGGCTGAATGAAGTAAAATTAAGTATCTTAAAGTTGAAATAAAGGTAGATAACTCCTGTTTGAACTAATCATGGATTAACTTTATACTATAACAATTGATATAAAAATTAGTTAATTATTAAACTTCCCTGCCAAGTGGTACAATATTTAGCCATATGTTAAGCTGAATGCAGTTACAGAAATAAGGGATATATAAATTTCTGTGTATGATACATTGGCGAATCCAGGGGGGGATGTTCACGGGGTTGGAACCTCCCGGTTTTTATTGATTAAAAAAAAATAATATGTGAACATTTCATGGTGTTCAGGGGGGGTTGGAACCCCCTTTTCAAAATGGCTGGATCTGCATCTGTGATATTTAGTGCCATAAATGATCCTAGATTTAATTATTTAATTAGATTGCATCTTACAAATTATTAGTTGTCAATTTGTCCAAAAGTTTTAATGTAAATCAATGTTATTAACATTTGGTAAAACCATTTCCCCAGTACAATACAAAGAACCCCAAGTAAACACCTCCATATTACTATAAACAGAACATTGATGACATAAAAAGATTACATGTCATTCTAATACACATAATACCTGTATATTAATTACACCACATGTCATCTTAATACACATAATACCCCAATATTAATTACTATGGCTGTCATCTCAATACACATTCTATTTAATGCACTACAGGTTGAATGACCTTGAATATTTTATGGTACATGTAAATATTATAGTCCACATGCTAATGATGTACATGTACATCTTATTTTTCTGTAAAGTTCTAATTTATTAGTTAATTATATTGTTGAAGGTTTTCATAGAGTTTGCACTTTCAAAGGTCTTTTATAAAACAAAACAAAAAATGAATTGCACCCAGCACAGCCCTGTTCAGCCTCATCAGAGTTAAATGAGACATGACATTGAAGAGTTTTTCAATCTACTTTCTAATAATGGTGTTAGCCATACGTTTTAAGGTGTTTGGAATCATATCATAAACTAAATTCCACAAATGCATCATTCACTCAAAGTTTGCTAGATTTTTGTTGTTGATTTTACATCTATGGTCTTAATTCTGTCTAAATAAATAAACTTGCAATATTAATTTCCTTTGATTATAGAAACATTAGGGGTAAAATGTTTTCTTTCTTTTGGTTGGGTATTATTTTTACAAGAAGCAAATTACATTTTTACAAGGTAAACACATTTATTTTTTGTGTCTTCACAGAAAATAGCACCAATGCAAACTATTAAGTTGTTATCATTTCAATTTCACCCAATCAAAAATAGTAAATCATGTCAAAATATAACCAATCTGCCATTCTTGAACAAAATAGGAGCATCTGATCATCTAAACCAGCTATGTCTACCTCAAAAAATCTTGAAAGGCACTATAACACAAACAAAAACATCTGCATGATGGAATACCATTTTACTGAATGGAAATGGGTGGCTCTTCTTATACTCACTTGATCAGAAAACTTACAAAAACAACAACAATTTTTATTTGTCTATCAAGACGCCCCAAGGAGCAGAACAATTAAAGTTTAAACTCAAGTATACAAATAATTGTGATGATTTTTTTTATTGAAAAATTACAATAAACTAAAACTATGTATGAAAAGGGAGACAACAAACACAGTGTATTACAAATGATAATGAGTAAGTGAACACAATCAGTATGGTTGTATTATTGAAGGAAGGGCTGGCGGGCCACTCATGTCTTTTTACTTAATTTTATTCTTCTAGTCTTTATTTAACTATCTGTCAATTTTATCATTGACATGAACAAAATATAAACTTTGACTTGTCATTTAAAATTTTTAAATTAGTAAATTTAGAAGATAAATCTAAAATGAAACTGGACCTTTCAGTTCTAAGTGATGGACATTGAAGAAGAAAATGAATATCATCCTCCACAAAAGCATTGTTACATGATAATTTTTTTCAATTTACAAAATCTTTTGTCTGGGGTATTCCTTTGTATCTTCCCTTTTCTATTTCAAGTTCATGCACACTGAATCTAAATTTGGTCAACTCATTTATTGTTGTACACTTTTTTATCAGTAAATATTTTTCAAGGCCAATATTATTTTTAATTTATTTCCTTGCACTATGCCAGGTTTTTCATTATTTAATTGATTGAACCAAGTTTCATCATATCTAATTCTGAGTCTTTTTATGATAATTGACTTTTTATTAGATTTGTGATTTAACAAATATTTCTGGGGTTAAATTAAAATATTTAAATAATGAATAAATGCTACCCAACAAATTGTCGTTATATCTTTTAGATATAATTTTAGGCTCTTCAAATGATTCTTTAATGAGGGAGTTATTTTATTCTGATAGTCTGACCCAAAATTTAGACATATAAACAATAACCTCAAGAGAAAGGAGGTATCACTCCAATTCTCCCATCACTGCTAGGTTAGTTGATCTTCTATAGGTACCTGTATAGGAATATTTACAAAATTTAACATGTAATTTTTCAATAACTAAATCTTTACACATTTCGAAAAAATAGTTATCCCCTTTTGATTGTAACTTATTTGGAGATAATTGGCGGCTTATTGGCCCCAAATTTCATAGCATTATGATAAATTGGCTTCAGAATGTGGTCAAAAGCATGTACAAGACTTTTAATATTAGATTTAAAATGAGTAAAATAGCTTTTTAATTTTTAAGTGCTAATCTGTCTAAGAATCAGGCAGTGGCGAAAACATGACAAACAAAAACCTGCTCAAGTTTACATTAGTTTAAGTTCAAAATGTATGATGGTGAAGACTATAACATTCGTTTCCTTTACCTGTTCTGGTAATTCAGGATATAATTTGGTTGAAATGAACTAAAAATTAACAATTAAGGGGAGCTAACCACATAATTTTCTATCATTCTAAACAACAGTTATCTAGGGATTTCTCAAATTTCCACATGCAGAAACGAAAGACCTACCATTTCTAACTCAGGATGAGGGTAAATTTAAAATAGGATGGTTAGAGTCAGTGGGTTTTTTTCTACCTTGTTTTGAAATTCTTCTAAATTGCCTGATTCTTACAAAGACTGGCACTTATTACAAAGAGCATG